CTCTCTCTCTCTCTCTCTCTCTCTCTCTCTCTCTCTCTCTCTCTCTCTCTCTGCGTGTGTGTGTGTGTGTGTGTGTGTGTGTGTGTGTGTGTGTGCATGTGTAAGGATATGTGCACACCCGTTCCCGTGCTTGTGTCAATATGTGTGTATATGCGGAGGCACGTGTATGTTTGATGTTGATCGTGAATGCGTCAAGATGGGGGAGGGGGGTTGTGCGCAAGCTCATGCATCTTATTGTGTCATTCTGCGCTCGTTGACCCATGTGGGCCAGAAAAGCAAGGCAGATTTTTATGCCTGATTGATGGATGATTCAATTTTACCTTGCCTTTTTTTTTTTTCTGGAGAGAGGACAACATCCTCTTATTAAACCACCAGTACCTTTCCCCGCTCGAAAAACAAATGCCCGCCGGTTAACAGGGAGGGCGAGCAGCCTCAGCACTACTGGGGCGAAATGGCTGGAGGCGCCAGTCAAATTCGATAGCACGTCGGTTTGTTTCTTTTTGGCGCGCAGTTCGAATTTAGGCTCGGCACCGACAGCTGAGAAAAGTACTGGCGGTTTAAATGCATCACACCTTCTCAAAAAGGGCTGCTTCCAGTCGAGATGCAGCTGACAGATTGGTCTTTCATGTCACATCATATCAACTATGTGTGGCTCTGCACGCGGCTCTCAGTAGTGCCTGGGTGTCACATGAAGGATTCCCAGTCGAAAGCTCATTGCTTGAGCTTTTTAATGACAGTCTTAATGAGCCTTGTTCCCTCGCCTAGTAACCCGAGCGGTTAAAAAAAAAAAAAAAAAGCCTTGTCCGTGTAGCCTGAACAATCCACCCCTAGCGATTCAGCGGGAGTCTTCCTTTAAATTAAAATATGTAATAATAATAATAATAATAATAATAATAATAATAATAATAATAATAATATTATTATTATTATTATTATTATTATTGTTAAAAATCGAAGGTGCATTAGAGCACGGGATGCGCACCGCACGGCGCACCTCAGAAGTGCGCCGCAAGTATGGTATTTTGATTGTATTCCATTTAGTCAGCCTGAACAAATCCCTTATCTTGTGAAATCCAAAAGAGCATTAGAGCTGGACATTAATGATTATTTGATTTTATTTCATTTAGTCCTAGGCTGTTTTTCTGGGCGCCTGGGCGCCCAACTTATGCCCGGGTAACGCCGGGCATGACCCCCGGGCAGGGTTCCGGGCAGCCCCTGTGCAAAAAAAAAAAAAAAAAAAACACAACATTTCGGGAAAGAAGTTCAAAAAACTTATGCTGCAGGTGCCTGGCCGGGGTGAGAATCCTCCTTACTTACTTCCTAGATTTAGTCATTTTTTGTCTTTCTGAAGGGGTTAGCCCCTGATGTTCTTGAATGCAGCAGGACCTGACGTCTTCATCTGTTTACCAATAGTTCAATTTCTGTAACACCAAACCGCCACTCAACGGCCCCTGCACTGTTCATTTTTCTTCTGTACAAGTACTGGTCCAAAATCTACAGTGCAGACCGTCTTCACCCGAATAGAGCGCCTGGTCATTATAGCTGCATTTAGTCTGACTTTAAGTCTGCATGCAGCAATAATGACAGGGCGTTCTATTCGGGTGACGACGATAAGCCCGGTAGAGGCTCGGTGTGGAAGGGTACCACAATTATTTTTCCTCACGACGGCAGGGTCAGGGAAGGGAAATGCAAATCTTGGTTTGTCAAAATAAGTCCAGACGGGGTTGTGGTTTAATGATTTAATCCATCACGAAGAGGACTCGGTATTGCCAATTAAAGTTCACTCATTTTCCTGTTTTTTTTTGCTGTTTGTGTTCCTGTGTTGTGCTTGTGACGTTCCTGTTACCCCTCATGATCTTCAAATCTGGATAAATTCAATCAATCATGGCGCCCATTCGACTGCAGAGCATATGCTATTTATGGGAAGTGAGAAGTTTCCTGAGGAAGATGAGGTAAGTGAGTTACCCTGTCTTTGATAGCACTGGGCACAGCCAATATTTATGGGAAGTGAGAAGTTTCCTAAGGAAGATGAGGGTAGTGAGTTACCCTGTCTTTGATCACACCGACCACAGCCAATGCCACAACACGAAGGCCTGGGTGCTTTTTCTCGAATACAACACTCAACGTTGTGAATGTCTTGGGGGCGGGTTTCGGGTCAGAGTTCTGATGCCCCTGTGTTCTATTTGGGGGGCACTGCCCGGTAAACCGTAGGCAGAGAGGGAGAAGAGGACAACAAACGAGGGGCTGTGACAAACTGTTTCGTCGGAGTTTCACCGACTCATCAGGAGGC